ACACTTTGTTTTTAGAATGATGTAATAATTATGTACATTTTTCTATTTATACATCAATTTTGTTTTGTTTTATTATTTATTTTTTTGATATCATGTTAGAGAAATGGTGGTTTTGGCAGATGGGAGGTTAAATTGGATAGAGTTGGTCTAACACTAGGCCTAGTTGGGAACATATGCCTAGCATTTCTATTCTTCCCAGTGACACGTGGCTCATCATTATTGCCTCTTTTTGGACTCTCGCTAGAGGCTAGCATCAAGTATCATATTTGGCTTGGACACATTACCATGGTCCTCTTCACCTCTCATGGTGTCTTCTACATCATCTATTGCGTTGTTACCAACAGGTTTTCAGAGGTAATACTTAACCATTTTTCTTTTATTCATAATTATATCATCATTATTAGTAAGTCACAAATGCAACAAAACAAATTAATTGGTTGTGTTTTTGTCCTTTTTTTGTTTGTTTGGAGAATATAAAAAAATTTGCCCAACGAATGGCTTTTAAAAATTGTTTTAGAAACAACCTACTTTTTAAGAAAATGCTAAAAAGTTGTTTTGGAATTTTCAAAACTATTTTTGCACGATAAAAAGTGGGTATTTTCAAAATTTAGTTTTTTTTGTTTCCTAAAACACATTAAAAAAGTTTAAATGAATATCAATAGAAATTATGTACCAAATTTAGTAGGGCTGAGCAAGGAATCCGTGAAATCCGTAATCCGATCCAGTCCAGTCCAATCCAGTAGGTTTGGATTGGTTTTTTGAATCCGTGGTTCGGATTCGGATTGAAAAATTAAAAATCCGTAATTCACGGATTGGTTCCGGATTGAACGCCACGATTCCGGATTGGAACCGATCCGGACCGTATACAAATAATCTATATTTTTATTATACACCCTCCTGCATAATATATTATCTTATTTCATATAAAACTTAAATCCAAACCTAAACTTGCATAGTATCTTCTTTTATTACTTTTGTTTGCTAGTTTTTAGTGTTAATTTGCAATGATCTAAATACCTATGGTGGAACTAGTTTTCTTATGGTTGTTTAAATTCTAGAACAGTTTGTTGCTATTATAAAAAGGTATGTTGCTATTGTGAAACTAATATGGTGCTATATTTATATTTTTATGAAATTAAAGTGTTATATATATTTTTTTGTTATTTAATTATGTAAATCCGTGGTCCTAAACCGATCCAATCCGTGTTATATATATATATATATATATATTATATTTGTATATTATTACTGTTTCTGCCATTGGACAATACTATTTTTACAAAACTTATATAAACAATTTTTCACGAGAATGATGTGACAGTGATAATTTTATAAATTAAATGTTATTTTATTGGCCACACTTTTTAAAATAACAAGTCATAATATAATTATATCATTTTGTATACAAATTTTGTATTATTCTTATTTGTATATTATTACTCTCATTTGGTTTAATTATCCACCAACTCAAGTGACCTCAAAACATTGGCTTCAGACCCTAGGTTAGGTCACAAACAAACAAACAGAGCCTAAACCAGAGCCTAAACTTTGTTTCACAGAAATCTCCATCATGAGCAGTCCTAAAGTCTTAGGCTTCATTCATTAAACCTTTGTTAGTTACCGTCCTAGAATTTGAGGTTGTTTGGTCTGTTAAATTTACTTAGGCTGTGCTTGAATTTAATGAGAAAGGAAAAGGAAAAGAAAATCGTTTCATTCACTCTTTTCTTTCATATTTTATTCTTTTTTGTAAATTTCTACCCAAATTATTGATCTGAACACAATCTTATAAAACCAAAAAAGAATTGAGCAAAAAGCACATAAAACGAATGGTTGTGTATCATCCTCAATAAGGTGGCCATCATATAATTTTTGGAATCATTTTGGTCCCTCCCCTTGTGAAAGGAGCACTTTCATCATAAATTAAAATAATGATTATATATTATTTTTTTATATATTTTTCTTTTTATTTATTTATTTATTTATGAACGTAACTTTACTATAAATTAAATGGTTATCTGATTACGGATAATATTATACAAACATAACTTTTATAAAAATAAATTTATAGATCATATAAAATGACACACTATTATGTATGAAATTTTTGTAAAAATATTCATTTTGTATAGCATTGTCTACATTTGGAACCAAGAATGAGTATCACAATCTTAGAAATCTCATTCTCAATAATACCATATGTTCGTAATTTCATTCTTGTGTTTGAATAATTCAAGAATTTTATTCAACAAAATTTTTTTTTTTTAGATTTTTGTTAATCTAGAAAATTGAGTTAAGTTGAATTCAAAAATCAAAAATCACATTCTCAAATCAACTATATCCAAATAGTGAATTTATAAAGACTTAAAATTATATTTTTATTTCTCTCGAAATCCATGTCATCCAAACATATTGGCATAAACTTTGAATTTTGAAATAGAATATTAGCACCCAGTTGGTTGGGTGAGTGACACATAACATTAAAAAACCTTGAATTGCATCCAATGAAGTGAATTGGGCCCAACTTTCTTTTTAGTTCTTTGTAGGTACAAATTTGTTTTTTTTTTTTTTTCCAAGGTAAGTGAGCCCGATTTTTAATGAGTCTCATGCACTACTTTTACTCTTATGGTGTGTTTGGTTGGGGGATTTGGGGAGGGATTTGGAAAGGGAAAGGGAAAATGTGTGTGAAACTATGTGAAATATAGGCATGATTTATTCACATTTCACCTACCTTTTCCATTTCCCTTTCCAAATCCCTCTCCAAATCTCCCAACCAAACACAGCATTATAGTTCAAAATTTAAAACTTGAATGATTGGATTATATCATTTGCAACAGAAAATCATAACAAGATTATTGGGGGAAAAAAGAATGATAAAGAGAATTCTAAGTCCTCTCAAAGTTGTCCTATTCATCTTTGTAATTTTCAAATTTCGTCTTAGAACAAACTTAATCTTGCATTGAAAATTAAATTCTTTTCTTTTCTTTTCTTTGAAATAATAATTGGAGAAAGTGAGAGAAGATAGAGATGAGCGAATAGAGAGAGAGAGAGAGAGAGAGAGGCACAATTGTTTCTATGAATTGTACATGTCTATTACACAAAGAAGGCACTCTATTTATAGAGGATGCCTTGGATGCCTATGAACAATAACATAATGCTACACTAACATAATGCACTAACATAATGCTACACTAACATAATGCACTAACATAATAATGCTACACTAACATAATGCACTAACATAATGCTACACTAACATGATAATGCACTACATAATGATACACTAATATACACTAACATTCTTGATGCAATGCAGGTGCTCAAGTGGAGTACCATCAGGGTATCAAATGTAGCTGGAGAACTATCTTTGCTATTTGGTTTGTTCTTGTGGGTAACAACCTACCCTCGGATAAAGCAAAAAATGTTTGAACTCTTCTTTTACACTCATCACTTGTACATTCTCTTCATGATTTTCTACATTTTCCATCTCGGCTTCTCTTATTCCTACACCATTCTTCCCGGTTTCTATCTCTTCATGGTCGATCGGTTCTTGAGGATATTACAATCACGACAAAGCGTTCATTTAGTTTCTGCTCGTGTCATATCATGTGAAATTGTGGAGCTCAACTTTTCTAAGAGCCGAGGTAAAGCAATAAACTATATTTAATTTGATACCTAAGTTCTTTTTATGATCGTTGATATGCATAAAGTGCAATTCTAACAACATTGAATTCATCCTAGATGAAGTTTACAACAAGGGCGGGGCTACATGTATGTGAGTGATTTTAGATGACTACACCATTCAAATTTGAAGAAAAAAAATTATAAGGGTACTAGGAGTTTTTCAAAATGAATCTAATGGTCAATGATTGTCCTGGTTTTGTTTTCACTTCTCCTTTCTCATGATTATCTTGGACAATTTGATCTAAAAAAAGACCTTTAAAATGTCAATTATTTTTGTATATAGACATAACATCGATAATTTTGGTTGACTTGACTTAAGTTCTTAACTTTGGCTTTGGACGTGGACACTTTTGGAAAAATAATTAAAAGTTGATTTTTTTATTTTTTTTTTCGTTTTTTTAACATGTTTATATAAAAAATGTAAAATATGATATGATCCAAAATGAGTTAAAAGTTGACTTTTGGCTTTTTATGTGCTTCCCAAATGGCCCCCAAGTGATAGCACTAGTAGACAACATTGTGTAGTACTGCCATATGGTGACATTGTTTCCACTTACAATTTTCATAATTATTTTGGACACCTTTAAAAAAAAAAAATGAGAAAAGAAAAGAACCTTTAAAATGTCAATTCTTTTTATATATAGACATGACATATGGACAATTTTTATTAACTTGTCGTAAGCTCTTAACCTTGGCCTTGGGCGTTGAGGCTACTGGCCAACATTTTGTGCACTGCCATGGGTGGACCAATCTTGACCCTCATTGGGTTAGTTTTAATGTTTGCTTAGCGCACACTTTGAACTATCTTTCTCTATAGTATTATGTTTCTATGCTTTATTTTTACATGCAATTTAATAAATTTTAATTACTTATATCCATGTCAAAGGAAATATATAATATTATAGTGTATTATATGTCAAAATTTTAATACATTTTGTAAAACTAAAATCTACTCCACTAAATGATGTGTTGTTAAACGACTCCATTAAATGAAAATTCTAATTACGCCACTGGTTTATAATCCATCAAGATGAATGCAAGTATTGACTTTACTGCAATCAATGCAATTTCTAGAGAAAAAAATTTAAAATTTAAAAATCTGCACTTTGGTTTTGTTTTCAAAATCTATTTTTAATTTTTTTTATTTATGAAAAAATAGAAACTAATATATTTTGTCCTAAAAAAGATGAAAAAAAAGCATACAAACGATGAGTTTTGTTTATTTTCATTTTTTTTTGCAATTTATTCTTTAAAAAAAATTCAAAAAACAGATTCCGACAATTTGAAGCACCTTTTTCGTAGGACTGTTTTTATTTTGATCTTGTGCAGCTTTGAGTTACACTCCAACAAGCATCATCTTCATAAATGTGCCCTCCATTTCAAGACTACAATGGCACCCTTTCACCATTAGCTCAAGTAGTAATCTCGAACCGGACGAGCTAAGCATCATCATAAAAAATGAAGGAAGTTGGAGTGAGAAGCTCTATCAGATGCTTTCTTCACCATCTCCGGTGGATCACCTTCGCATGTACATTGAAGGACCTTATGGACCTATTTCAACTGATTTTCTTAGGTATGTGCAAAATGTGAATACATATGGGTATGTTTCTCCTATGATTAATTGCATTTTTGGTGTCTAACGGTTGCATTTTGTCAGTACCCAACATTTTACCGTGTCACTCAAAAATATTATGTATTTAGCCAAAAGTTAAAAAAATGTATCGTTTTATTTTTTTTGAAATTTTGTCTTTAGTAATTTTAAAAAAAAAAAATTGTGTCAATTTTCTTTCTTCTCAGGGCCTTTTCTAGTTTGAGTGATCAAAAAATTTTAAAAATTTTCAAAAATCCCAAATATAAAAAAAATACAAAAGTCTAAAATATATATTTATATTTTTATAATTTTGTCTTTAGTGAAATTTTTTCAAACCTTTATTTGATTTTTAGGGTTTTCTAATTTAGTAAGACCTAAAAGTTAAACTTTTTTTAAAAAAAAAATTCATGAAAAACGGGAAAAAAAAAATCAATAAAAAAAAGTTGACAAAAGGCATTAAGTAGCGTCATTCAGGCCCAAAAATTATAGAAAAATATAATGAATTCCAAATAATTTATTAGATTTTTTACCAAATCTCTCACATGGAGATTTGGTAGAAAATCTGATAAATTATTTGAGATCCCTAACATAACTCAAAATTATATTTACTTTTCAAACTCAATGATGTAACATTCTATTTGAATATTTAAGGCTACTCTAATTTTCATATTTTCTCTAATCATTAGTCAATCATATTTTTTTACACATCATTCACTACAACATATAAGAGTTGTATAAACTAAATTTTTTAATATTTAAAAGTAAAAATTTTGTTGCAAAATATATTTAGGGAGCAATTTATATCGTCGTGACGATAATTACTAAAAGATCGTCCTAAAAAGTAAAAAATAAGGCTTTTAGAGACAATTTTAAAAATATCACTAATAAATACACTTTTAGGGATAAAATAATTTGGTCTCAAAATAATTTGTTTTTTGAGACAAGAAAATTTGATTCCGAAAAAATAATAATTTATCACTAATATTTAACTTTCGTTACTAAAAATACAATAATGATACTTTTCATAATAAAAATATTTAATTTTTAAAAAATAATTCTACGTCTAAATTTTAATTTTTAAAATCTTAATTTTTTTTTTTTTTTTTTTTTTTATGTTTTTTTGAAGTGATTGAATCTAGGATCTAGAAAGTAGACTTGGGTTTATTGTCAAACCAGCCATAAATGTGCAAAGTAGTCTTCATGCCTGATGTAGTCAATATCTATTAGAATCAGTTGTATTTTTTGAACGAGAAATTACACCTCAACAAAAGAGTGTTAATTTCACATTTGGTTCCCCCACATTTCAGTGGTTTCAATTTATAAATAGCTTTTCTTTTTTTTTTGAGATGTAATTTTTTATTTCAAAAGTACATTTAAAAATCATTACAAGCCCTTACATAATGAAATAAATATTTTCTATTACAACTTTAGAATGGAGAGGATCTGAATCTATTAATTTTGACAATGAATATTACCAAAATTGGTCTGAACCATTTTGACACACATTTAATACTTTAAAGTCCAAACTGAATCAAATGAACCAAAACAATTAGCCCTTACTTCTATGGTGTGCATTGGTGACTTGGTATACAAATTGTGGTTGCAGTCATGACATGCTTGTGATGGTTAGTGGAGGCAGTGGCATTGCTCCATTCATCTCCATCACGCGTGACCTCATCTTCACAACCTCAACCCTAAAATCCACCACCACTCCACAAATTCTTCTCATCAGTGCATTCAAATTTTCATCCGACCTCGCCATGCTAGACCTTCTCTTTCCACATTCCAAAACCCCATCTGAACTTCTCAACTTCGAACTCCACATTGAGGCCTACATAACAAGAGAAAAACAACCCATATCGGAGAACGAACAAAAGCCTCTCCGAACCATCCGGTTCAAGCCTAATCCCTCGGATGCACCCTTGTCTCCCACTTTAGGCCCCAATGGTTGGCTCTGGCTCGGTGCAATCGTGTCATCATCTTTCATCGTCTTCCTCCTCTTCATGGGGATTCTTACCCGGTTCTATATTTACCCTGTCGATCACAACACGAATAGGGTTTACTCGCACACTTCGCAAGCTATGTTGAATATGTTGCTCGTATGCATAGCCATTGCCATGACAGGTTGTATAGGTTTTGTTTGGAGCAAGAAACAGATAGCCATGGAAGCAACAAAACAGGTTCAAGATATGGAAGGTGGAAAGCTAACTAGGTTTAGTGATGATAGGGAGTTGGAAAGCCTACCTCAGCAGTCCATTGGCAAACCTAACAACGTGCATTATGGTGGAAGGCCTGACCTAAAGAGTAAGTAAAGCTTTCTCTAGAGCACTTGTGGTACGTATGAAGAAAAAATATTTAAAGTTTAAACATGTGGATAAAATTCATTTTATTTATGACCCAGGACAGTTTAATTTTAAATTTATACTATATATTTTACTTTCATGATAGAATTGTAAGATATTTTTAGGGAAAACTACAACATAGTGTCAATCAAAATTAATTACAAATAAATAATAAATATTATATATATTAATAATTAAAAATATAAACTTTGACATAAATTTGAAATAATTTTTTTCTATCCTTACTAACCAGTGATTTCCTCATATTTTTATGGTTCCTAGAATTATTCTTCTCTAGAGTGTCATTCCATAACTAATTCAAACTAGTAGTTTAAGGAATGGGTTTGTTGCCCTCTCCACAATATAGACCGGATGGTATTGTCTGGTCCGTAAGGCCCATGAAGAGTTTTCTTTTGATGATCAAATTTATTTGTTTTGTTGGTTTAGGTGTGTTGATCATTCATGAAGAACAACAATCAGATGGATTTGATAATCATACCCATATTATTTTATAATGTTTCAAAAAAATAATGATATAATTTTAAAATTATCTTACTCCACATTTTTTTTAAAGACAAATATTGTAAAATCATTTGAATATGATTATCGAATCAATTTATTTTTTTATGGATTATATATGCCTAAATACATTTAAGATAAATAGATCAAATCATCAAAGCAGGAATCACGGTGGGTCTCATAGACACAAACAGCACTGTCGAGTCTAAATTTGGATAAAAGATCATCTTTCTTCTAGTTTAATTATATATACAAGCCGAGATCGAACCTAAATTCGAATATTTTTTGCTTGAGCTCATTTAATATAGAATTCTATATTTGAGCCTCAATTTGAATTCACTCCATTATTTAGCTCAGTTCAATTCATTTGCAATCTTACAAATTAATTGAGGTGGGTATTTCAGGAATTTTGTTAGAGCGCAAGCAGTCAAGTGTTGGAGTTCTTGTTTGTGGACCTAAGAATATGAGACATGAGGTTGCAGCCATTTGTTCATCTGGGTTGGCACACAACTTGCATTTTGAGTCCATTAGTTTTAGCTGGTGATGTGATTCACGCATCCACTACAAAGATGAATGGGGCTTAGAAAGTGAATCTTCAAAAATGATATGAAGTGTAATGTATTGTTGAGATCTATCTTTATTAAAGTTCATAAAAAATGATTTTTACATTCAATATTTGTTTCTCCTTTATATATTATGTTTTTGCATATAGTTTTTCAGGCAACTTGTAGTAGTATTATTATATTGGAGTTCTGGGTTCAACCTCGGATATAAAATATAGATTTTATTTAAAGTTTTCTATGATATATATATATATTTGTAAGAATAGATTTTACTTTATAAAACTAATTATAGGGGATTAGAGTTCCCAACATTATTGATATATTATTGAGAAATTAATTTGTTAATCGGCTTTAATTCCTTAATTATTTCCTTCTAATTGAAAAAAAAAATCCTTAAATAGCTGAAAAAAAGTATTTGCCGGTAAAATACAATACATAGAAAAGCCCTCAAGTAAATTATTCCCTGCCCATTGGGTGGTTGTCTCCGGATTGATTAAAATAGTGGGATCCATTATATATTTGGGAAAAAATCGAGTGATGATAATTTTATCATATGTTTATACTTTGTAATATGATTTTTCTTATTTTACATAAACTCGACAAACTCATCAATTTATTGATCTTGCAGCTTCCTATCGACTAATGCTATATGTACAAATTGGTGCACTAACTAGTATACTAATTGATGACGTGACATAATTTTAGATGTTTTTGGTATTTGTAACTTGCATAATAATTGAGGTTAATAATAATATTATAATTAATGTTGGTATACTAATTAGTACATTAATTAGTACGTGTAGCACCACTCCTTTCTATCACTAGCAATTCCAGTGAACTTTCTCAAACGATCCTCATTTCCTCTCCCACCTTCGACACCATAGCGCCTTTTTAAGACTTAACAATGTCATCCTAAACAACCCGTCTTCGCCATTCTCCACTTTAATCGCGAATTCTTTCTCCACAAGCAATCACACATTGAAGCATTGATCGAAAATAAATGGCAAAACAATAAGACAATACCCAAATCCTTAAGGCTTGTATTGCACCCAAAATGAAACAACGAACTATCAATAGATGGAAATGCCAAAAATCTCCAATTGCAATGCCCATCCAATCCTCAAAATTAAAAAACAAAAACAAAAAATGTAACATGTATCTCTTTTATTAATAAAATCAACTTGATTAAAATTAAGGAAAAATTTCAAAATCAATAACATTTTCCAACTTGTGCTTGAAACCTAACGACTTCCATTAAAAACAACATTTTTTCTTTCTTAATTAGTAAGTAGAATAAAACTTCATTGTAAAATTAGTAATTGTGGGGACATATTTTATAAATGATAACACATGGCCAAGGTGACACCGAAGTGTCAGCCGAGATGTCACGTGTCTTAGTCATAGCGTCGAGATGATCTCGGCTAAGCCAAGGTTATCTGCGGAGATACCAGAATCCGAGATAAACAGATAAGGGACAAGAGTCCTAGAATAGAGAAGGATCTCAGTCTGGATAAAGATAAATCTCTTGGAGAGTTTATCTCTATAGATAAGCATTGAGCCGGAGTCTATTAAAGCTAGGCTTCTACAAGGATCAGGTTAGTGCTGGCTATAAAAAGTAAGGTACCATCGTGGGTCTAAGGTATAACTTTTTGTATTCAGGGTTGTGAGTTAAGCGCTATTTGTATATTTGAGAGATAATTGAGTACTGACTTGATCGTTAGAGTGCCCCTGGGTGGACGAACCAGTACCGGAGTCTTATCTTTCTGTGACAGGTTGTTCGAGCGTAATCTATTCTGCCTGTGCTCTCCTGTTGAGTTCCTGTTTGGCAGTGTGGTCGGAAATCAGCACACACAATTTGGTGCCGTCTGTAGGAAGCATAAGGAGAATAGATGGCCAACGACGGGCAGAAAGAAAGGATTGGAGGTGACCTCCCTAGTGGGAGCGGTAAAAAAGTCGATCCTAATGTAGAGAAGGACAACTGTAATGAAGAACATCGGGATAAGAATCCCGGAGAAAAAGATGTCGGCCAAGAGGGAGACATACCGAAGAAAGCATGTCAGGGCGGGTATTACAACGAAAGCAACCTCTAGGTATGGGAAGATAGATGCCTGACGAGGGATGGCGAGATGAAGGGGATGGCAAACAAATTAACAAACCTGCAATCGGTTGTCAATTTCATGATGTAAAACAACGTCATGCAGCCACCATTCCCATTAGAGGACACGCCGATTTCGGCGGCCAAGAACAATGCCCAGAAAGGGGGGCAAAAAGCAATCCTTGCAGTCCTACAGCATAATAGGGCAAGAAAGAATTTTCATCAGCCTTCACGGGAGGTCGGGTGAGGAGAATCGACGAGAGGAGAGTCACGGAAGACACATCATGCCAAAGAAACCTACGTCAAAGAGCATCGGCATGTCCAAGGAAAAGAGCTTTGTTTTGACACGATGAATGAAGGGAGGTCCAAAAGGACTCATAACGACATCGGGAGCAGCGCATCAAAAAGGTTGCAATCCGATGACAGCCGGGCTCTTAGACGGACTAAAGAGGATTTAAGGGATTACCTGCAGAGGAAGTGACAAGATGCCGAGGTAACATCTTCAGTCAAGCCGAGAACGCTGTTCTCAGTAGAATTAGACAAGTTTAAGGCTCCGAAGAGGTTCCACATGCCGAGATTCCAGATATACGACGGTAAGTCCAATCCCATCTTTCATGTCGACTTATATTTGAACTCAATGGCACTGTATACCGAGAAAGAGTCCTTGCTTTGCAAGGTGTTCCCCTCATCCTTTGGGGAAATCGCATCAGATTGGTTTCATAAGTTGCCGAAAGAAACTGTGAGAAGTTGGGAAGGCTTAGCCGAAATGTTTGTGGCCAGGTTTGTTATAAACAAACTACAGCCGTTGAGGGTAGACTCGCTGATAGCCTTGAGAGTTGGCAAGGATGAAAGCCTTAAGGCTTATGCCAAAAGGTATTATGAGGTGTTTAATTGAATACCAGGGTGCAACCAACAAGTGGCAGTCGTATCTTTTAAGAATGGCCTAAACGATGACTGTCTGCTTCAAAAATCACTGGCAAAGACACTGCCAAAAAGTATGGAAGAACTTATGGCCAGAATTGAGAAATATGCAAGCGTAGAGGAAGACACGCCAGGGACAAAGGCGTCAAAGCAAGAGAAGAGGAACGGCTCGCCAAAGCGAGGCCAAGGTAATACAAATTTTAATAGACAAGAAACAGGATTACGGGCTGCACAGGCAGTCACCACAGTGTTCTAGATCCCAGTTTAGAAAGTTCTTGAAAGGATCAAGAATTAGCCTTACTATAGAGCACCAGAGAAGATCCCTAGCGAATTTATGAGAAGAAGCCTAGGAAAGCACTGTGCCCACCACAATGAGGATGGACACTTGACTCAGGGATGCAGAGCCCTGAAGACACATTTGGAAGACCTGGTAAGACAGGGTCACTTAAGGGACCTGTTAGATAAGGCCAGAACAAGGGAAGAGCAAGCAAGGTTGTCCCAAGCACTGACAGTACCACCTTCACTAGCACCACAACCGCAAGAAGACGGATCTCGAGTGATCAATGTGATTCACTCGAAGGTCAATGAAAACGAGGTACGTTGGGAGACTTAGAGGGTGAAACACTTACAGCATGTGTATCAGGTCCAGCAAAAGAGGCCTAGGGTAGATGAAGGACCAATGGTGTTCTTTACTGAAACCGACTTAGACATGGTACAACATCCAGACAATGAAGCTCTGGTGATATCCTTGAAGATTGAAGAATGCCAGATAAGGCGCATTCTGGTTGACCAAGGCAGTTTTTATGACATCATGTATGTTAGACGTTACAAAGAGCTCGGTCATTACCAAGATGATCTAGAGCAATCCAACAGTCCAATGGTCGGGTTCAATAGAATGCCGACATGGCCCCTAGGAGCAATAAGTTTGGAGGAGCAAGTAGGCACCAAGAAGGTAAGCACAGAGTTCATAATAATTGGCACCCCCTCCTCTTACAATGTTATCTTGGGAAGGCCATGGTTGCACGCAACGAGGGTTGTTCCCTCAACACTGCACCAGCTGTTGCGATTCCCAACAGAGCATGAAATTGAGGAAATCAGAGGAGATCAAGTGTAGGCAAAGAATTGCTCCACGGCAGCAATAAAATCCACCTGTAATGTGCGAGAGGTAGAGACAGTAGAGATTAAGGACGAGGACATGGAGGTCTTGGATGACGTCGCAAAGAGCCTGCTGACAAAAGTGAGGAAGTTTTGAAGAAAATTATGGTCCAGCAAGGGAATGAAGAGCACTTCTTCCTCCTCAGCTTAGGCTTGGCCAAGAAAAAGAAAAGGGAGTTAGAAGCGTTCTTGCGAGAAAACATAGAGGTGTTTGCCTGGACGCCATACGAGATGCTTGGCATTGACCCCGAAGTCACATGCCACAGTCTGAACGTAGACAGGTCAGCAAAACCTGTCATTCAGCAAGCAATGAGGCTGACATTGGTTCATGTAGAGGCAATAGAGGAAGAAGTGGACAAATTATTAGAGGCTAGAGCCATTCGAGAGGTAACCTACCCTACCTAGCTGTCCAACACTGTGGTTGTGAAAAAGAAGAATGGGAAGTGAAGGGTCTGCATGGACTTTACTAACCTGAATAAGGCTTGTCCCAAAGACAATTTTCCACTCCCCAAGATCGATCAATTAGTGGATGCCACTTCAGGACATAGAAGGATGAGCTTCTTAGACGCTTGTGGGGGGTACCATCAAATAGCAATGTACCTCTCGATAAAGAGAAGACTGCATTTATCACCCCAAAAAGGTTGTGTTGCTACAGAGTGATGCCTTTCGGGTTGAATAATGCAAGAGCAACGTACCAGAGGTGAGTGACCAAGATGTTCAGGCATTAGATTGGCAAAGCAGTGAAAGTGTACATCGACGACATGAACGTAAAGACCAAGGAACCTGAGGATCATCTAGCCAACTTGAAGGCAATCTTTGACATCCTAAAGACATATCGGCCCCGACTCAATGCTTCAAAATGTGCATTTGGAGTTGGGTCTGGAAAGTTCTTGGGATACTTGGTTACCAAAAGGGGCATTGAGGCAAGCCCAGATCAAATCAAGACCATCCTAGATTTGAAAAGCCTAGAGTCAGCAAAACAAGTGCAGATGTTGACTGGAAGGGCCGCAGCCCTGAATAGATTCATAAATAGAAGTTCGGATAAGTGTAAACCATTTTTTAGCCTGTTGAAAAAGGCCACTGACTTCTTGTGGACAGAGGAATGTGAAGTCGCCTTGGCCGACTTGAAAAGATACCTGACCATAGCCCTAGTTCTCTCAAATCCAGTACCTGGAGAGGAGCTATTCTTTTACTTGGTGGTCTCAGAGCATGCAGTGAGTGCAGTGATAATTAGAAAAGAGAAAGGAGAACAAAGGGCAATATGCGGGCGCAGAGACTAGGTATTTACCCCTGGAGAAATTAACATTGACCTTAATAATGACCTCCAAGAAGTTGAACCATTATTTCCAAGCCCACAAGATTGTGGTATTGATTGAGCACCCTTTGAAGTTCTTGCTACAGCAAGGAGATCTAACAGGCACGGTGACCAGATGGCCAGTGGTATTGGGCCAATACGATTAAAGTTCAAATCCACAACGGCAATCAAAGGCCAGGTTTTGGCCGACTTCGTAGCCGAGTTCATGCATGGCGCCATTCCACGTCGGGCTCTAGTGAGCCGCGGCTTACAATGTCCAGGTGAACAAGAAGAGAAGAAGAAAGAAAAGAAACTTAAGCCCTGCGATATTGACATCGGTGACTCATTTTGCCTATTTGTTGATAGGAGTTCAAACCGACAAGGAGCGGGGACAAGAGTAGTGCTAGTATCGCCAGATGGGCGGATGTTAGAACAATCTATTCGAATATGGTTTAAAGCCTCAAACAATAAAGCAGAATATGAAGCATTGATCGTGAGATTGAAGTTGGCAGCAGCAGTGGAAGCCGACAAGGTGGTGGCCTTCTGTGACTCCCAACTTATTGTGAACAAAGCAACAGGCGGGTATGCAACCCGAGATGAAAAAATGATAGCATATGTCAAAGAGGTTGTTAGATTATTAGCCTTGTTTCAGGACTGCCAACTACAGTAGGCTAGCCGAGATGACAACAGCCATGCCGATGCCTTGGCTAACCTGGCTAGTGCAATGAAATCAGGGAAGACAAGGACAATTATGGTTGATTATTTATCAAACTCAAGTGTGGAACCACTAATCATAGAGTACGAAGCAATGTGTGTGGAGATGGGACCAAGTTAGATGGATGCAATAGTAATACTCCTTAGAGATGAGAAGTTACCAGATGATCGCAAGAAAGCACATACAAGACCAGACTGAAGTCGGCTAGGTTTAGTCTGACAGCAAAATGACATCTCTACAGAAGGTCTTTTACTGGTCCCCTTTTAAGATGTGTGCATCATTCACAAGTTGAGGACTTCTTGTATGAAATACATGAAGGAGTATATGGGGGCAGATCACTTGCTCATAGGGCTATTACTTAGGGGTATTGGTGGCCCTACATGCAGAAGGATGCTGAAGTCTATGTCAGAAAGTGTGAGAAATGTCAGAGGTTCGCACCTTTGATACATCGATCAGCAGAAGATTGGAACCCAGTATCCAGCCCTTGGCCTTTTACCCAGTGGGGCATGGATCTTGTTGGACGACTACCCCAAGCAACTGGACAAAGGAAGTTCCTGCTAGTAGCAACTGACTATTTCACAAAGTGGGTAGAAGCCAAACCCCACGCGAAGATTCGAGACATTGATGTGAAGAACTTCATATGGAAGAACATCATCACCGAGTTTGGGATCCTAAGGGCAATAATAGTAGACAATGGTATACAATTTGACAGTAAGCTAATCAAAAGTTTCTGTGCAAAGTACAAAATCAAGAACTATTATTCCACTCCAAGTTTCTCTCAGAGTAATGGTTAGGTAGAAGCATCCAACAAAACTATCTTGGATGGGATCAAGAAGAGGCTGGAAGCAGCAAAAAGAAAATGGGTGGAAGAGTTGCCCAATGTACTCTGGGCACATCGGACTACTCCGAGAAGATTAACTGGGAAATTCCCATTTGCCATGGCTTATCGCATAGAAGCAGTCATCTCTCTGGAAGTTGGCATCCCAGGGATCATAACCAAAGGAGTAGAGAATAGGACTAACGATGCATTCTTGGTCCGAGATCTGAACCTACTTGAGGAGAAAAAAGAGAAAGCAGCAATTCGGCTGGGGGCATACCGACAATAACTTACTAGGGCTTATAATAAGAAGGTCAACCCAAAAGAGTTCAAAGTTGGGGACCTGGTGCTAAGAAAAGTGGTCGGCAACAAAAAGGATCCTAGAGAGGGCAAGCTGGGCCCAAATTGGAAGGGACCTTATAGAATCATCTCGATAGCCGACAATGGTGCATGTCGACTTGAGGACAGTAAAGGCAAAGAGTTGCCATGACCCTGGAACACTTGCAACTTAAAATTTTTCTATCATTAGACTTTTTTGTTTTTCGAAATTTATGTCATAATTTTCTTAGCCGATGTAGTAATAAAATTTTTAGCCTGATTTTTAAGAATTTGAAAATTTGTGCGATTAGACTGACCAGTCCTTTGGCGATATTTCTAATTAAAACATGACGAATAACTTAAACTTATTATGTGGCAGAGTTAAATTATACTTGCATATAATAGAGTTGAACTAAGTTGACGATGTTTCTGATTGAAACATGATGAATAACTTAGACTTATTATATGGCAGAGTTAAATTATACTTGCATATAATAGAGTTGAACTAAGTTGACGATGTTTCTGATTGAAACATGATGAATAACTTAGACTTATTATATGGCAGAGTTGAATTATACTTGCATATAATAGAGTTGAACTAAGTTGACGATGTTTCTGATTGAAACATGATGAATAACTTAGACTTATTATATGGCAGAGTTGAATTATACTTGCATATAATAGAGTTGAACTAAGTTAACGATTTTCTGATCGAAACATGACGAATAACTTAGACTCATTATATGGCAAAGATGAAATTAGACTTGCATATAATGGAGTTGAACTAAGTTGGTTTAACATAGTTTTTCCATGTCGGTAGAATTAACCTTAGAATGAAACTAAATGCATTTCAGTTAGATTAACCAAGGTTGAGAACCTCGGCTAGTCTTTGTTTGAATCTGACTTCGGCAAAAACTATACGTACTTAATGTGAATATAAGTGAAAGTTAAGTTCATATTAGGGGGCAAAGAGCTGAAGAATGATAAGTAAAAGTTTAAAGTGCTTGGGAGTTGGAATTTTATAGAAAAATTTACAAGCTAGAGTTGGCTTAACACTTGTTGAAATTTTCAGAAAAATTTACAAGTTGAAGGTAAGCCGAGGTAATATTGCAAGAAGTACATACGTACTTACCGAGATGACCAGGTTGCCAAACTTGGGAAGTATAGAAGACAAAAGTCTTAATAGAAGACAATAAGTGAGAGTGAAGTGGCAAGTTTAAAACAATACTTGTGAAAATATTTTACAATGTTTTTTAGTGTTAAGCCAAGACCGAGATAAACAATTAGAAGTTACGTCCGAGGTACTTTACTCCGAAGAAGTTATACAGATAAAGGTATACTTTGAAGACATGCAAAATTATTCTAAGTATGAAAGTGGTAAACATGCATAAGAGAAAAGAAGGCATTCAAACACTTAGAAGAAACGTGGAGACTTGCATTAAAAAAAGACTACTTGTTCAATTACATAAAAGGCACATCGGCCAAGTATGAAGCTAAACATTTGTTCAAGACAAAACAAAATACAACTAAAAGAAGAGATAGTACAAAGAAAAGATAAAACATCCAAAGTACTAGGACTGATTTGTGATTTCTCAACCTCGGATGGCGGTGTTGCATTCTGTTCGGCTGCTATCTCGGCGTCTATCTCCAGCAAAGTCTGATCCAGGCTCTTCTCGGTGCATTGGACCTCGGCCTCAGAGGTAATTAGTTTGGGGGAGACGTCCTTGGATGCCAAGTCATCCTTCTTGTCCTGAGTCAAGTCTATTTGCTCATTGAGGGTAGGAGACTTGATATCAATGGCAGCCTCCTCCTCCACTTCGTCGGCTTCATCATCCTCGGCGCC